ATCTATCTATCTATTTGTTCAACCTCGCTTTGCTTATTAAGCGACCTCCAGATGTGTGCTGGAGCTCAGTTTGTTTAACAAATGAATGAGTTCTAATGCGAGACCATTGCGAGTTGTTCATGAAAAGCTCAGTTCATTTACAGCCATAATCTCAACACTGTTTTTGACTTCTTGTTTTATAACAGGTCGTGAAGAATCATTGTCTTTTTTCTTTTGGATCAAAAGAAAAAGGTCTGATTTACTTAGATGCACGGGCGTAGTCTTTTTAGGATTGGTTTACATAATCTTTTTTGCTTTTAACCACTTGAAGTATTAAATATATAGAATGATATTTAGGTATTTATAAATTTGATAATATTTAGAGTCTGGGTCAAATGTAATATTTATGTGGAAATTTTAAGACCTATATAGGATTTCTAATAGTGGCGAAATTGTGCAGCCATTGAAGGTTGGATTATTCTGGTCACTGGAGTTCATGAAGAGGCACAAGAAGATGATCTCCATAATACATTTGGTGAGTTTGGGGAGATAAAAAATTTGCATTTGAATCTTGATCGGCGCACTGGATTTGTCAAGGTATGCAATTTTCAACATTTCTAGAATGTAGTTAGGATAAATACAATCATGCACGAATGCTCGGTCAGGCATTCATAGACTAAGATGTTTGTTTTAACTTATTACAGAATAATGAAAGCTTTTCAATCAACATTTTAGTATTGGTATTTATGGTGATGCTATCTTTGTTTTTTTTAATAGTTTGGTATTTCTCTTTCTTGTTGGTATTAGTTTCTTACTGTAATTTATAGCCTTTAGATGTTTGAGTGCATGATCTGCATTCATAGACTAATGTTTATGTGAGCTTATTAATGAAAAATTAAATCTTTTCAACCTACATTTTAGAATTAATATTTATAGTGATACATGCTACCTTTGTTTTTGTAATGCTTTTGCATTTATGCTTCTCAATGGTATAAGTTTCTTATTGAGTTATGGCGATTAGTCATTGCTTTGTTATTGTTGTTGATCTAAGAAGCACGGATACTTTTTAGAAGTATTTGTATCCGATACGTTATTGTATATCGATACATGTTAGATATGTATTTGATACAAATGGTATAAAAAATTTAATAAAGTATTTTTTCAGTGTGGATACTTATGGGGTACGTTGAGATACAACAAGGATATGCCAGGATACGGGCGTAGACATGAATGGATAATATCAGTATGTATAATTCCTTATGTTCTTGGCTACATTTGTTCAGCAATCTTCACATTGGAAGAAAAATAAAATCCCTCATTTCATAATTTAATTACAGTTGATGAATGATGGAAGAAGGAAGGGCCTTATTGTTCCTGAAGGGATTGATAGAAAGGTTTGGGGTAGTTTTGGGAGAGTGTTGGGTGATTTCTTGGATGGTCCTAACTATCCTATGTTCTTACAAAATGAAAATAAGGGTGTGAAGGGAAGGAAGGTAGGATTGTGGATAAGGTGTCCAATAAGATGGTGGCAGTTGAAAAGTTTCTAAAGGACGCATAGAGATGAAAAAATGCTGTATTATGCATTAGAGAAAGCTTATTTCATCCATGGAGAGAAATTTAGAGGGCTTTGTCGAAGGTTTTGAATTTTGATGTGAAATTGAGTGTGTTTCAGACTGACAAAGCTATCTTTTTTTTCGCCAAGATGGAACACAGGTTGATGATATTTGCAAGGATGGTAAGTGCATTTTGGAGGGATCTGTTCTGGTGAAGATGCAAAAATGGAGTCCAGATGCAATAGATTTCGCAGCAAAGTGTCTTTCCAGGGAGGATGGCTTACAGTAGATGGTTATCATTCCACTTATGGCATTGGGAAGTGTTTCATAAGATTAGAGAATGATGTGGCAGGTTTCATTGAAGTTGAGTGTCAAATAGAAAATCATGAGAACCTGTTTTAGGAGCGTATTCATGTTCATAAACCAGAGATTGGTTTCTTAACTTATCTTAATGTTGTTTTCAACAGGAAAATGCACCAGATTTGAATTATAATTTTTTCTTGTTTAGGGTCGATGAACCGTGAAGAAAGGTTGAGAGTGTTTGTCCATAAAGTACGGATACTTAAAAGGGCCATAGTATCGGTATTGGATGCGTATCGGAACAAATATGCGTTCGATCCGCCTAGATACGTATCTGATACAGCTGAGAAGAATCCTAAAATTAAAAAAAAGAAACTTGAATTTCAGATATGTTAGGATACGTGGGGTATTTCTTGAATTTTTAAAAAAGAATAGGGGTACCAGAGTAAATATGTTGGAATCTTGTTTGCCAAAAAAAAAAAAAAAAAGAAGAAAAAAATCCTAACTAGCTAACTTATTTGATAGAAACCCCCATTACTCAGTCGACTGTTCAACGTTGCCCCTCACTCTATCTATCTCTCCCTCCCTCTCTTACCTTCAACGATCACTCTTGACCCCGAAGGCGTCTCTCCTCCCACTTGGTATTGTGAATTGCAGTTTTGATGAGTGTTTCCTCAGTACTGTCCAGTGTTCAGGTATCTTCAGGTAAGCACTGTGCTCTCTCTCCCTCTCTTTCCCCTTTCTTTTGCCTTTTACCGGTGATTACACTTTTTTTTTTTAACAATTAGCGTTTGCAAAACAAACTTTGGGGCCTTCAATTAGGATTTTTTTAGGAGAACAAATTACACATATAGGGTTTTTGCTTGTTTTTTTTTTTGTATTATATATTAGGAACCATTTGAACAATTGCATTTGTACCGTGAAGTGCTGCTGCATTTGAACGCATTTGAGGTGTGTTATTGCTACTTTGCTTTACTACTATTGGGTACGGGGTTGAATTATTTGAGAAACAAATATTTTCTAATTGTGTTGGCTGTTGGGTGTTGAATTTTCTTGGGTACACTATTGAATTTTTGATTGTGTTGGTTGTTGGGTACATTGCTGATTCGTTTGATCAAATTAATAATTATAGGAGAATGAGTACATGTATGGAAAGTATGGGCTCAAATTGACTATGTCCCTAACTTCTCTTTATTAAGAGACTCGGTTGTGTACTCTAATTATAATAAAGATATTGTACACCACGCGTTGATACCAAAGAAAGCAGTTGGCTCTTCCTGCATCCATGCCCAGTGGAAGTGGAAGTGGAAGTGACACTCCCTCTAATCAAGATTATAATGTTCCTCCTTGGGGTTTTGCTACTGAAGTATACAAAATGGGGAAAAAAGGTGGAAATATTATATTCTAAGGCAATTTTTGTCATCTAAAATAATCACTTTATAAATCATAATTATTACATTAAATATCATAATAATTTAAAAAATATATATTTTATGGATGTATCTTAGTCGTACTCGTATCTGTTTTTTTTTAGGTTTTATCGTATCGTATCGTACATGGTTCAAAGTATCGGCTGATATCGATACGATTTGGCCAAGTAGTATCTGTTTGGGCATCTTCAGAGACGATACTAATACACGATACGTATAAACTCCGAGTCTCGCACAATTCGACCGAGTCGTTTGAGNTATGTTGGAATCTTGTTTGCCAAAAAAAAAAAAAAAAGAAGAAAAAAATCCTAACTAGCTAACTTATTTGATAGAAACCCCCATTACTCAGTCGACTGTTCAACGTTGCCCCTCACTCTATCTATCTCTCCCTCCCTCTCTTACCTTCAACGATCACTCTTGACCCCAAAGGCGTCTCTCCTCCCACTTGGTATTGTGAATTGCAGTTTTGATGAGTGTTTCCTCAGTACTGTCCAGTGTTCAGGTATCTTCAGGTAAGCACTGTGCTCTCTCTCTCTCTTTCCCCTTTCTTTTGCCTTTTACCGGTGATTACACTTTTTTTTTTAACAATTAGCGTTTGCAAAACAAACTTTGGGGCCTTCAATTAGGATTTTTTTAGGAGAACAAATTACACATATAGGGTTTTTGCTTGTTTTTTTTTTTGTATTATATATTAGGAACCATTTGAACAATTGCATTTGTACCGTGAAGTGCTGCTGCATTTGAACGCATTTGAGGTGTGTTATTGCTACTTTGCTTTACTACTATTGGGTACGGGGTTGAATTATTTGAGAAACAAATATTTTCTAATTGTGTTGGCTGTTGGGTGTTGAATTTTCTTGGGTACACTATTGAATTTTTGATTGTGTTGGTTGTTGGGTACATTGCTGATTCGTTTGATCAAATTAATAATTATAGGAGAATGAGTACATGTATGGAAAGTATGGGCTCAAATTGACTATGTCCCTAACTTCTCTTTATTAAGAGACTCGGTTGTGTACTCTAATTATAATAAAGATATTGTACACCACGCGTTGATACCAAAGAAAGCAGTTGGCTCTTCCTGCATCCATGCCCAGTGGAAGTGGAAGTGGAAGTGACACTCCCTCTAATCAAGATTATAATGTTCCTCCTTGGGGTTTTGCTACTGAAGTATACAAAATGGGGAAAAAAGGTGGAAATATTATATTCTAAGGCAATTTTTGTCATCTAAAATAATCACTTTATAAATCATAATTATTACATTAAATATCATAATAATTTAAAAAATATATATTTTATGGATGTATCTTAGTCGTACTCGTATCTGTTTTTTTTTAGGTTTTATCGTATCGTATCGTACATGGTTCAAAGTATCGGCTGATATCGATACGATTTGGCCAAGTAGTATCTGTTTGGGCATCTTCAGAGACGATACTAATACACGATACGTATAAACTCCGAGTCTCGCACAATTCGACCGAGTCGTTTGAGTTATCTCTGAGTCAATCTCGAGTTGTCAAAATATTGTCATTGAATTGGCGGATACGATTTCACGATGCCGTGATATGACCTAAATTTTTCGTCATGTTCAACATTTTGTTTTAGGTTGTATCCTCCGATACCTCGTCGGGACTAATGTGTCTTAGAGCTCTCCGAGTTGATGGTCGATACCGCGACTTTAAACAATAGTATTGTATCATATCGGTATCTCGTATCCGTGCTTCATAGATGTTTGAGGATGGTGGTACCAAAAATCGGTACATTGTTCAAGAGGTTGAAGATTGAGGGAGAGGGGTTTCAAAGATTATGTGGTAGAAAGACTGGATGTGGGGGAGAGGCTGTTCGTCATACACCTAATGATGAAGAGAAATTTAAGGAGACAATTGAGGGGTTGGAAGATGAGTCATTGAATGATGCACTTAATCCCATTGATTACTTTAAATCCCGTGATAATGGGAGTTCAAAATCTGCTTTGAATTTTAAAAAGAGGATTATGGGGTTTAATGACAAAGGAAGGGAAATTAGTTTNAGCGTTGATCCCAAAGAAAGCAGTTGGCTCTTCCTGCATCCATGCCCAGTGGAAGTGGAAGTGGAAGTGGAAGTGACACTCCCTCTAATCAAGATTATAATGTTCCTCCTTGGGGTTTTGCTACTGAAGTATACAAAATGGGGAAAAAAGGTGGAAATATTATATTCTAAGGCAATTTTTGTCATCTAAAATAATCACTTTATAAATCATAATTATTACATTAAATATCATAATAATTTAAAAAATATATATTTTATGGATGTATCTTAGTCGTACTCGTATCCTTTTTTTTTTAGGTTTTATCGTATCGTATCGTACATGGTTCAAAGTATCGGCTGATATCGATACGATTTGGCCAANCTTTTTTTTTATAGGTTTTATCGTATCGTATCGTACATGGTTCAAAGTATCGGTCGATATCGATACGATTTGGCTGAGTAGTATCTGTCTGGGCACCTTCAGAGACGATACTAATACACGATACGTATAAACTCCGAGTCTCGCACAATTCGACCGAGTCGTCTGAGTTATCTTTGAGTCAATCTCGAGTTGTCAAAATATTGTCACTGAATTGGCGGATTCGATTTCACGATGCCGCGATATGACCTAAATTTTTTGTCATGTTCAACATTTTGTTTTAGATTGTATCGTCCGATACCTCGTCGGGACTAATGTGTCTTAGAGCTCTCCGAGTTGATGGTCGATACCGCGACTTTAAACCATAGTATTGTATCATATCGGTATCTCGTATCCGTGCTTCATAGATGTTTGAGGATGGTGGTACCAAAAATTGGTACATTGTTCAAGAGGTTGAAGATGGGGGAGAGGGGTTTCAAAGATTACGTGGTAGAAGGACTGGATGTGGGGGAGAGGCTGTTCGTCATACACCTAATGATGAAGAGAAATTTAAGGAGACAATTGAGGGGTTGGAAGATCAGTCATTGAATGATGCACTTAATCCCATTGATTACTTTAAATCTCGTGATAATGGGAGTTCAAAATCTGTTTTGAATTTTAAAAAGAGGATTATGGGGTTTAATGACAAAGGAAGGGAAATTAGTTTATATGTGGGCTTGGATAAGAGTTATAAATTGAATAATAATGAGGGCTTGAATGAAAATAAAGAGACCCATCTTTTTTTTGGGCTGTCAAATAGCCCAAACAGAATGGCTGGCTATTTTGTTCTTAAGGGATCTGGGCTGTCTAAAGTCGGCCCATTTATCCCTAAAAAGCCAAATGACTTTCGCAGAGGTTGCGACCCAGGTCCTGTATAGTCTCCATTGTAACGAAGAAAGAAATCCCTCTAATAGGACTATTTTGTCTGCCCTTAGTGTAAGGGGAGAGGGGGAAGAAGACTTGCGAAGCAGTGGGGAGTGTTTGGAGGAAGGGTTGAAAGGGGATAATGGAGATGAAATAAGGGCTAGACGATGATGTGGTGAGAAAGAGATACAAAAATGAATTTGATTTTACGATGGCAGGAACTTGAGAAGATTTCGATGGTGATATCGAATGCTACATCGTGGGTTGAAGGTTGGTGCAAGAGGTGGAGAAGGGTTGCTTGAATATGGTAAATACTGGTTCGTTATTTGCGGGAAGTGTTGAGTCTGACAGTAGTTCCTATGGTGATTCATACTATTACCAGAGTGGGTCAAAGCCCAAATTGAACCAGGAAGACGTGGTCTATGATGTTGGTAAGATAGTCAACATAGAGGATACTGCGAAGGCAGACAATGTTAAAATTTTGAATACAAGCTCAGTGAAAAGATAGGAGATAAGTAACAAATGGTTTGTATATCTTCTGAGTTTATTCTTTTGGCTCTCTCTTGCTTTTCGGATGTGCACAATAAGCTTGAAAATTCTTCAATGATGGATTATCTCGAGGGTGGACAAATTTCACTGGGTAAGGATTTGAGGGAGAGGGATAGTATTACTAGGGGGGCTTGTTGTTCTGGGTAGTGATAGGGTAAAAGGTGGTTAGTCATTAGGTGGTTTGAGAAATATTATAGGGGTCCAGGGAGAGGGATGTCAGCCTTGTGAGCTTTTGCCTTCTGGGATGGGTGGGGGTTCCTTTGAGAAATGTATTTCCTTGGGTGGTAGGGAGGGTCCTAAGTTAGGTTTGTTAGTTGAACCGATATTAGAACCTGATGAGCCAAACTTACAAATAGATAATGGGGATTCCATTGTGAGTTATGCATCGCGAATTCTCTAGGTTGGTCCTGATAGGGTTGTTGTTTGTTATGGGGGGGATGAGAAGGGACTGAAATTGGGATGAAATGGAGGAAGTGGAGAGACATTGCGAAAGAGTAATGCAAAAATAAGTGATCCACACTCTCATGAAAACTTCTACACATAACACACCATTATGATTGAAGACAAAAATTTGGTCTCCTTTTTTGAAGGACCTCATTTACACTTACTTTACCATTGGCGTTAATCCATGCACAAACTTGCACCTTTAAAGACATTTTAGCCTTCTAAATCTTCTGTGATGGTTCGAAAGAAGGAAGTAAAGAGTTATCGATTAAAACCTCAAAGAAATATTTACAAGAAAAAATTCCTGTTGGATCATCAATCCAATATCTCTTATCCTCCAAACTAAAGAGCAATGCAAAAATAAGTGATCCACACTCTCATGAAATTTACACATAACACACCATTGCGATTGAAGACAAAAATTTGGTCTCCTTTTTTGAAGGACCTCATTTACACTCACCTTACCATTGACATTAATCCATGCACAAGCTTGCACCTTTAAAGACACTTTAGCCTTCTAAATCTTTAGTGATGGTTCGAAAGAAGGAAGTAAAGAGTTATCGATTAAAACCTAAAAGAAAGATTTGCAAGAAAAAATTCCTGTTGGATCATCAATCCAATACCTCTTATCCTCCAAACTAGGAATCAACATTGCATTATTCATCATAAGAAAAAGACTCATCAAATCTGAACATTTCATATTATTAAGAATCTTATTAATACTAAAGTCCTAAGAAATGCTAAGAATATGACTGAATCATATATGTTACCTAAGCACCCGGATAAGAAGAGACTCGATACACTTAAGGAAAAAGACTAGAGAGAAGACTCACGCACCCAATTATCCTCCCAAAACTACACTTTAGTTTCATTATCAACAATAAACTTAGCCCTTTGAGGCGAGCAAGATAATCCCTTAGAAATGAACTTCTACGGACTCCGAAAATTATCCCTTTCAATCCTATTAACATCCCACCCATTAGTCGGTAACCCATACTTGTTCCTAATAATGGCATGCCACAATGAATTTTGTTCTAAAAGGAACCTTTAGATTCATTTTTCAACCAAGGCTACATTCATTTTCACTTAATTCCCCTATTGAATGCCCCCTTATTTTTTGTCTTGCTTACCACCTCCCAACGAATCAAATGACCATTATTTCACTCTCCTATCCCTTCCCATAAGAAATATCTCATCAAACATTCAACGTTCTTAGCCGACCTACAGGCATTCTAAAAAGAGATGATATATATCAGAATACTAGACAAAACGGATTGAATCAATGTTAATCTACTTGCCCTAGAAATAAAAGATTTCTTCCAGCCATCTAATCTTGTCCACATTTTTTTAACCACAGGGTCCAAAAAAGATCTAGACAATAGGTTACCACCCAAAAGAAATCCTACTAATTATCTTAATGACCACTCACTCATTTTACATCCCATCTCCTGTGCCATCATCTCCACCTTCTCTTGACCTGAATTGATGCCCTACGATAACACTCTTTTAGTCTAGATATTACACCAAATACATCAACAATCATCTTTAAATTCCTTATTTTTTGCTCATCTCGTGAAGAAAAGAATATAGTGTCATATGCAAATTACAAATGAAAAGCAATTTCAACTCAAATGATGACGAGTAAAAAGAAAAATAAAATCCTCGAATTTTGAAAGTGTTTGAAAAATCAATAAACTAAGAAACAATATTTAAAAGAAAATCGGACGATCTTCAGAGCTCATTTCACTGTAAATAGGAATTTTGACCTAATTTATAATTCATTCAAGATTGTATTCAAATGCCTTTGAATGAAAAGTATTCAACTTAAAATCAAGAAAATAACTCACATGTATTTAAATTGATTGTATTAATTGGTGAAATAATTACACTCACATTGATTGTAGTGAATCCAAGAATTATCTGTGCCAAACCTAATTGTCTACAGATAAGCAAAGAGATATCATTTATGTTTTCAAAATCAATTGTCCAATCAATAAAATTATTTTAACATCAAAAACTTTAGTTAGGTCAAATTAACCTATTTACAGATGGGAATCCATCATCCGATCATACCGGAAATTAACTACTCACTTGTTACAAAAATAAAATTAAAAGTAATTATTGAAGATGTCATCATAAACAAAAGAAGAAATTGTCTGACTTTTCCCTTTTATTTTGTCACCAATAGGACCCCTTAAAAGGCCTCGGCCGATATTCTTTCCAAAAGAGTTCTTGCTGGCATAAAATACTGATGAACTGGTAGCAAGTAGGTCCCAACCTACCTGTAAGTCCCGACCTATTGGTAACAAAGTTACTGTTTTACATGAATTGGTAGGTCTTCACAACAACTGGTACAACTACTTTATCTTTTGGATCTATTAGTAGGAAAGTAATGACCTATTGTTAGGAAAGTTTTTGTTTTGGTTTAATTAACCTGTAGAACTTCACAGCTACCAGTAGAACCTATATTTGCTGCATGAGGAACCGGTAGGAAACGTCCTGGTACAATCTCACTTTTTCTGAATTTCCATTTATTGCTCTTGATTCAACTCGTGGCTCACCTAGCTCATTACTAAAGTCTTTTAAGGCATAAAAATCAATGTAAAATTTCTTCTTTACATCAATTCAATTACAAACACAAAAATTCCGTATAAAACATAAAACTAAATTAAAGCAAGATAATTAAGTAACACACAAAATTAAGACGATTGATTGAGGCATAAAATATGCAATATTAAATACTCGTCAGTTTCCCATTCATAGTGACCAAAAAATTTACCAATTCCACACATCCCCTAATCTACTTTATCCATCTCTCACCAAAGTTCTTTCCTTCCAACATAGTGTCTAGAAAATCAACTTCAACACAACACCTTTATCCCCCGTCCCCATGTACTCCTCAACGATCTCATTAGCAACAAGTGCCACATCCATATGTCTCCCTCTCACAAAAGTCCCTTGATATTTTGAAATTGTGTCAACCAAACACTCTCTTAACCTCATTGAAAGAACNCTGTACTCCTCAACGATCTCATTAGCAACAAGTGCCACATCCATATGTCTCCCTCTCACAAAAGCCCCTTGATATTTTGAAATTGTGTCAACCAAACACTCTCTTAACCTCATTGAAAGAACTTTAGAAATAATTTGTACAAACCACATTTTTGACAATGAGCGTGATCACATTTTTTCCCAATGGAAAACTCAAAGCCATGTACTGCAAAGATGTTTTTGTTTGGTCAACAGAGAAGAGAGTACGAAAGAAACCTAGTAAAACCACGTAAAGAAAGTGTAATAAGAGGAGAGATAGAAATAGAATACGCCCGACATTAGCCCATCTGCAAGTTTATATCTATTTATTTTTCAGCAACATAGCAGTTGGCAGCGTTGACCCTAGTGTGAGAAAATTCTCCAATTGGTTGGCAAGTTTGGCCAAAAATGCTTCAAGACTACTTTTTTCTTGCAAGAAATTTCATATCTATCAAACTTTAATTAAAAAATTAATTTAATATTATAATCTAACTAATATTATAGTGAGGAAGTTCAATTATTAATTTATAAAAGCACAACGATGGTCAAGATTAATCTAATGTTTATCTATTTGATTCAACGGTACAAAATTCATCCCAAATTCTTTTTCTCGCTCAAAAACATCGTCTTGTCTGCATGACCCCCAATGTCGGACAACTCAATAAACACACTCTCCGGTGCCAAATAATGCCCACTAATTCACACTTCTCTTTGTATTCACTTTAATTTTAATTTGCATAATTAAAGAAAAGATCAGAAAATAAAAGAAATCATAATTATTAAAATATAAATGTTGCACGATCTGTACTTGATTTTTGGTATCGAATCATATTTTTAGGTATGAAGCTATTGCTAGTTTTTCTATATAGCATAATAGAAAATATAAATGTATTTGTTATGCCTGTATTCCCACTGTACTCGTATGCCAAGTTAAAACTTTTATATATTGCCGTATCTATATCCTGTATCCATATTGGTGCTTCATAGCTGCTGATTTATACAAATGATTNAAACCTAGTAAAACCACGTAAAGAAAGTGTAATAAGTGTAATCTGCAAGTTTATATCTATTTATTTTTCAGCAACATAGCAGTTGGCAGCGTTGACCCTAGTGTGAGAAAATTCTCCAATNAGGAGAGATAGAAATAGAATACGCCCGACATTAGCCCATCTGCAAGTTTATATCTATTTATTTTTCAGCAACATAGCAGTTGGCAGCGTTGACCCTAGTGTGAGAAAATTCTCCAATTGGTTGGCAAGTTTGGCCAAAAATGCTTCAAGACTACTTTTTTCTTGCAAGAAATTTCATATCTATCAAACTTTAATTAAAAAATTAATTTAATATTATAATCTAACTAATATTATAGTGAGGAAGTTCAATTATTAATTTATAAAAGCACAACGATGGTCAAGATTAATCTAATGTTTATCTATTTGATTCAACGGTACAAAATTCATCCCAAATTCTTTTTCTCGCTCAAAAACATCGTCTTGTCTGCATGACCCCCAATGTCGGACAACTCAATAAACACACTCTCCGGTGCCAAATAATGCCCACTAATTCACACTTCTCTTTGTATTCACTTTAATTTTAATTTGCATAATTAAAGAAAAGATCAGAAAATAAAAGAAATCATAATTATTAAAATATAAATGTTGCACGATCTGTACTCGATTTTTGGTATCGAATCATATTTTTAGGTATGAAGCTATTGCTAGTTTTTCTATATAGCATAATAGAAAATATAAATGTATTTGTTATGCCTGTATTCCCACTGTACTCGTATGCCAAGTTAAAACTTTTATATATTGCCGTATCTATATCCTGTATCCATATTGGTGCTTCATAGCTGCTGATTTATACAAATGATTGTTTTTTCCTGCTTTTACTGATTTTCTTTCAGAGTTTGCCATAAGATTATTGTCAAATTGGCTAATTGCTGTTTTTACAAAGTAGTTTTCAAGTTGCCATAAAAGTAGTTGTTGAAGTTGGAATTGTTTCACACCAACCACAAAAAATAGCTATAATGCCCTAGCAATTCAGTTTCTAGAATCAGATCCAATGCATTGAGTACTCACATTCCTCTACTCTTAAATAAAACGATGCAATAGGTTTTTTCGTGCACTTCTCTGTTTTCTTTTAATGAGACTGGTCGCGAGTAAGATTCTTACAGCATAAATAGATTGTATGGAGAGACCACTAAAAGGAAAATGTCATAGCATATCAGTAGTTCAACTAGTTCCCCACAATTAAATAAAAGTTGGTGCATTTTAAAGACAAGAACCTTTTTATTCATCTGCTGGCTAGAAAAAAATAATAATTGAAACACCTCATCATGTTTTCACTATAGACTTACCCCCATTATACCTCAGTTAAGCATGCAATTCTGTTTCCCTGAAAGACTCGTGTTCCTTTTAGAATTGGACTTCGATATTGTTCAGGCCTCTTATCCTTTGCCCTTGTAGTTAATGGTTATAATCTTCAGCATTCAAATTTTTGTTGAAAAATGAAAAGTTTTTTACTACACAACAGATAAGGATGAAAAGGCACTAGTTTCAGTTAATTTTTTGTTACTGTTTCTGTTTTTGCAAATTTAAAACCTTGAAACACTTGGATATTGGCAATTGGCAAGAGAAGATGATGACACGTATCATTGTAACAGACATTGATATGCAAACAATGGGACCAATGGAAATTAGTGGATACCCTACCTTAGAACCTGTACCGAATTATCTCCATATCTCATCTGTTACACACAATTTCTTGTTTCCCAGCACCATCTGATCTTTCCATGTGTGCCCTCTGCGTGACTCTGTGAATCTTGAGACCAGGTACAATCTAGACCTTTTCATCACACACACACACACACAGAGATAGCCGGATCCTCTCATCGTTCGTAACATATTGATTAGGAACAGATCATCAAAAAAAANGACACAGAGCCGGATCCTCTCATCGTTCGTAACATATTGATTAGGAACAGATCATCAAAAAAAAGTAACAACAAAGTAGATCCGAAAAAATAAAAAAACGAGCAGGTCTGCTGCTCCACTTCATACAAGCAAAACTGCTTGGAGCATTGATTCAACCAAGACAATCTTGGCTCCAAAAAAAAAAAAAAAAATTCACCCATTCCAACCAAAACAATTTTTTAAAATTTTTCTTGCACACACTTCATGATCAAAAAGTCGATGTTGCATTTGTGTGTGCAAGACTAAACGACAAGGGACATTATTGTAGTTTTTCAAGTAAAATCAGATGGGCTTGAGATAGATCTGAAATAATTTACAGCATAGTCATAGCGAGCACACAGTCCTATGATTCACTCCTCTCTCTCAATTTCTCTCTTCCCCCCCCCCAAAAAAAAAAAAAAAAAAAAAAAGCTAAGTGGTGGCATTACAGAATGAAAAATGTGTTTACCCAGAAAATAATCTTACCCTGCAATCATCCCATGAAAGCTACTTCTTTATACTTTTCCATGGTTATTCTCATTCCTAATTCGATACGTCTTAGTTCTTCCACACATTCATCTTAACAATCGTATTTTTGTGACATTCAATTTTTTAAATGTGTTGTTTCTTAATTGCTCGACTCTTAGTACCATAAAGCATAATGGGTCTCAAGGGCACCTGACGCAGTTTTCCATTTGATCTTACTTTAATTTGTAAGTAACTTTGTCTCCAATCTAACTCGCTATGGATAATTGACCAGGAACATCAAAATTATTCACTGTTCAGATCCCTTAATCTTCAAATTTATCTACTTCTGGGTTTGGATTCCTCCACTTACTAAAGTTACATGGTGAATTGAGACNCCTTAATCTTCAATTTTATCTACTTCTGGGTTTGGATTCCTCCACTTACTAAAGTTACATGGTGAATTGAGNAGATCCCTTAATCTTCAAATTTATCTACTTCTGGGTTTGGATTCCTCCACTTACTAAAGTTACATGGTGAATTGAGACTTCAATCTCCTCCTGTGGCAATTCCATTTCTTTGACTATGCTCATCTTGTCCATCAGTCTTTGTTCCTTTATCCTGCAGAATCTCCTGTTATGCTTTTAGTTCAATAACTTCATCCACTATCACTTTAGCATCATTTCAAAGTTTGGATATCTTTTCCCCATATTCAGTTTTTATCCTACATATTTTAAATCCTTTTATTCTAATATCCTTTCACCAAATTTTTAGTTTGTCTTTAATTCCTTTTTTACTGTTAGCAATTAGTATGATATCATTCTCAAATAACATACACTATGAGAGCTAAGAATTGTCATGAATTGTTTCAACTTGGAATTATCATTTTGCTAAATGTGTGAAGTAAATTAGCTAAGAATAAATTTCTTCCTCCAATATATGAAGGAACAGGGTATTTAGCAATTGACAATATAACACACTTTTGGTATTGTATTGTGAGAGCTAAAACATTGATAGACTGCCAGTTGCTGCTATCATAAATCAACCTATTTTGGGGTTTTAAATCATGGATATGCTAAAAGAAGTTCAATAGCTATTTGCTCTGCTTTTTTCAGAGATGATTTATGCATTTTTGGCCAATATTTATTCACTGTAGCCTGCAATAGATAGTCTTATGCTGAATTGCTTCTTGCGATATTATTCTACAGGGGTATGCATTGATTGAATTTGAGAACTTTGAAGAAGCACAGAGAGCCATAAATGAAACAGATGGAACTGAGCTACTCATGCAATCCATTGGTGTTGATTGGGCATTCAGTAAAGGTCCTTTTAAGAGGAGAAATGTGAGGAGGAGGTATGTCTCCTGCAAAATCTTGTGCGAGCTTACCAATGCATGTACATCACAATTATGTGAGGGAAACAGTTAGTTCATAAATTTGATGATGAGGGGGATTTGGGGGTAATGAATAAAACAAAGTGAAAGGGAAAAACATATGCCTTGCAGATACATATGACTTCTACAACTGCTTGGTAGGTAAAAAGTGCAGTGTCAATGGAGCATTTTGCAGCTGAAGGCTAGGGAGGAAAAGGGGAAGCATATCTGTATTTTCTCCTTTTCTCCCTAAATATTTCCCAAAGTGCTTTGGCGAATTAGAGAATAGTCTTTCCTTCCTCATATCACTGCTGTGTAGAAGTAACATATTTTTAGCAGATGTAAATGCTAAATGCTGATTTTAAAAAAATTAGAGTCTAAGTGGAAGAGTCCAGTTTTCAGAATACTAGCCCATTAGGATATTTGCTACACTTGTCTGGTGGAGTCTATAGCAGTATTAGTTTTATGTGGGGTAGTATTGATCCAATGGGAATTGCCTTGCGGTATCCTTGTGTTTGTTTTGAACTGTTTGAATCAAAAAGTGGGTTCATGCATTGTGATATGATTAAGCATGTCTGTCTGAACACGAAAATAATTGTGGCAGTTGAATTGTTTAAGAGAGGGAGAAAGTAGTGAGCAGACTAGAGAAGATGCAGAAGAGGTGGTGTTCTTAATTATATAAAGTATGGTTTTGGATAACTCCTGCAATGGCTGAGTGGCTTTGGTCAGCCAGAGAAGTTGGGGTGGAGGGGGTGTTTTGGTAGTGAATCTGATTGCAGTAGTTGTGCTCATATAGGGTATTCGTTAGAGGGAATGTGAAGCATTCTTGTGATTGAAAACCCAGGCTCTTATAACTTAATAGTCTTATGAGAACAGGTTTATCACAGTATGCATCTTGCTCTGTAATTCTTTCTTCTTTTCAAAAGAGGAACAACTTTTATTAATCAAAGAGAGGAAAAGACAAAAATGGTGGACCAGAAATCCAACCATAAGTACAACTAAAATGATAGTGCAACATTACACATTACTAAGCCCAGTTCAGACACATCGCACGAACCCGACACAGATCCTCTAAAAACATAACTAGTGGCTCCTATACTGGAAGCTGATCATCGTTTCTGTATATGAGTTGGATTTTAGGATTATCACAAAAACAGATGTATAGCATGTTAATAAGATCCTGAAAACTGGTCTGCTACACGAATAGAATATTGTTAAATTCCAATGCTGTCTGGACGGATGTAGATCTTTCCATTGCAAAATAAAATTGTAAAATTATGTGATAAAACTTGCTGCCCTCGTAAGACTCAATATGTTAAGAGACAGTATGTTGTAAGTCCTTTTATTAATGTGCTTATGTCTTCATTTTACTTAGCCTAGGTGGCAGCTCTCAACTGATTAAAACTTCATGTATCCAAATTAAATTTTCTTGATGGAATTCTATGTATGTGATGGAAATTGATCTTCGATACTATTGAGCCATTCCTTTCAGTCACATGTCTGATACACAGTTCTATTTATTTGTCTTTATTCTTGCAGATCACCACGGGGGCATCGGTCAAGGAGTCCCGGGAGGAGATACTAATCCTGCATGTGTCTTGTGCAAGGTTTTTCTGTTTAGAGCTAACAAATCAAGATGATTCGAAATTTTTATTGGCACTAGTTGTCATTGCATGATAATTGCTATATCCGCTGAGGATTTTTTTCTTCTTCTGTCGTTTGTTGTTTTGTCCCCCTTGTAATGGATGTTGAAATCTTATTGCTATTATGTGTTGGTGTATATGGATTATGTTAAGGCTATCTTCATGTTTTGCACTCGTAGTAAAGCTGTAGTTTGCCATGAATGAGCATTGGTATGAAGATGATTGTTGAAGATATCTTTTCC